GGTATGTTTTCTATTTTTGCATTTGCATTTTCATATCATATTAGAAAATGGGTGTGGGCTCATTGAGATCCCATTTACTCGACAAAAAGATTAATTTTTCTCATTGCATTTGCATAGTCAAATTTCAGGTATCATTTTATCTTTGAATGAAACCTCTTCGAGCTCCCCTTCAAAGAGGGGCAGCTGTTGACACCTAAATTTTGACAATCCAGTCAGTCGTTCGTTGCATAAAAATTAGGGATCGATCCCAGTCCCTAGACAAAAAATTAGCATATAGATTAGAAGCATTTGAATTTGTATTTAGGCTCACATAGTTGCATTTGCATTGGACTGGCGGCGGATGGACTCAAGTGCAGAGGTTGTGAACTCAATGGAAATTGGACTAAACTCGCGTGGATTAAAGATTTTGGCCTAGCCCATTTATTTTTGCGCGAGGGGTCCTACACTTAGAAAGAATTTTCGTAAGTTCACGATCTAGGGACATGCGATCAAGAGCAACATATAAATCGTGCAAAAGGTTATATTCTTGATTGTGTGTATATTATATGTTTGCCATATATTTGGTGCATAATTCTTGATCAAGAATCGATAAAAAAGAGAGAGATTCTTTTCCGAGTCTTGAAGGGCGTAATCTTGTCGGTTTAGGCGTGGAATATTGGCTGAAATACGAACAATATTCTGATTTGGGGAGTGAAGAAGACAAAACAAATATAAAAGAAGATGTGTGCGAGAGGGGAGAGGAGGAAAGAAATTGCAAAGCTAGATTGTGCAATATGTGGTTGAAAAGAGAAAATATTGTATATTTTCTTTCCTTGGTGAGCTCCATTTCTTGGCATATAAATAAGATGATAGTGCAATGCGTGAAGGGGGGGCTTTTCTTTTGGATCGGATCAGACACAAGAAACACAGAGAGAAAACACGAGAGCGAGAGAGAGGAACGGGGGGAGAGAGAGGATCACGGGTGGACTTGTCCTGCCGCCGCATCCGTGTGGCCTCACTGCCGGGCCTCCATCAACGTCGCGCACGCTCACAGCCAGACCTGTGGCCGTGAGTCACTGCTGCCCCGAAGTCGACACTGCCGTGCCCGTGTCGCCTATTCCAACGCCGGGCTGGTTGCCGTCCCACTGCTGATTGCTGAGCCGCCGCCTGTCGCTGCTTCTCTCACGGCCAGACCTGTGGCCGTGAGTCGTGACCCTCCTCGCTCCGATCTCTACCGAATCCGCACCTCTCCTGCTCGTGCCCCGTTCAAGCCTCGCACCGGTGAGTAGTCCTTACACAACGACGCCGAACCAGCCCTCTGACGACGAAGCCATCGAGCGTCGCTTACTGCTCCAAGTTCAACACTCACGACGTCACCGTTCTCCTTCTCTTGCCAATGCGAGACCACAGCATCCAGCAATTGGTCTGACGTCCCTGCATGACTAGATCGGCTTTTGCTTGATACACACTGAAGCATTGAAGACAGTCAAGTGGAAAGCTTAATTGTGTAGGCTTAAATAGTCAAAGTTTGATAATCAGAAGAAGACCATTACAAGACCAGCCGATTCGGTCAAAAGCCGAAGGACGACGATGCATTTGCTGCTCCCGAGTTGACCGAGAGCCCACTGTCGAGTCACGCCCCTGTTGTTGCGTCACTCTCGCGGCCGACTCTGTGGTCGCGAGCCAGTCCATTGTCGCCGCATCCGCTATCGATCGCTCGTCGCCCGTCATCGGTTATCCGTTGCCGGTCCACTCGCCGCGATCCCGATCCGCCACGAGTTCAAATTTGGAATTATCCGCCAATTAGGTAAGATTATCCGAATATTTATTTAATTTCCTAGTTTTCGGGTATTCGAATATTTCGTGAATATTTTGATGGATAGCTATATATCTTAGGATAATATTTGCGATATCCGCAATATTCGAAAACACCTAAAAATTAGGAATCATTCCTAATTTGGCAACGTATCTGGACGACTATCCGACCTTATCCCTAAGGTACGATACGCGGCGATACGGAAAATCGTTATCTTGTCCATAATCACTTGGATACGATAATATATTTAATTTGCTTTCCAAATTTAAACAATCAACTTTCTGTCGATATCTATAACCCTATAGATATGATCGTTAGTTTGATTTCTTTGCCTTATCTGAATTTGAAGAATCTTGCGGATTGCGTGGATTGTTTGAATGTGATTGGTATCTTTGTTTGATTGTTTTTCTTTTAAATAAAGAAAACCAAAAAAATTTGTTAGTTAGATTTAAATTAGAAATTTTGCATGCTTAGGGAATCTTAAATATATCCAAAAGAATAAGATAATTATTTGATTTAAATTGGGATTTAGGGTGGCATATTTCCTAGTTTAAATTAGAAATTATTTTAATCTTAGTGGATTATTTAGGATATTTAATAATTTCGAATTTTAATAAAAATCCCCAAAAAAAAAAAGAATCACTTTAGGATAGATCAAATCATTTTCTCTAGGATAGATTGCATGTTAATTTGAGTAATTTTTAATTCCGAATTTCATTTGAAAATACCAAAAATAAATCATTTGTCCGTCATTAGAATTAGGTCACGTCGTCGCATGACATATAGTTTGCATGTTAGGCTGCATTAATCGCATGTTAATTTTTGCACGTCATTACATATAGGTTAGTTTTCATTTAAATAAGTGAAAATCCTAAAAAATATTGAGTGAACTGCTTGTTAATTAGAAATCATATTAGAATTGTTGATGTGATTTTCTAGCTAACAATGCAGATGCTTACGTTGCTTCGAGGTAAGTAATTCTCCCAATCTTGCAATTTATTTAATGTTTTGATTATTGGGTGTTACTTTGGTGGTTTGCGCACCCGCATGATCACCTCACATGCTAGTGACTAAGTTAAAATGGATCCAGACTGCCTGCACAAATGTTTTTGAAAAGAAAAGGTACCGAAAGGGCGTTAGACTAGATCTAGCGTAATCAAGTCCCCGAGCTTAGAATCTCTGGTTCGTAGGAATAAAACATATCTCCCTATGTTTTATTTAGGTTTCTAATCGACCTACCACAAATAGATTAGTGGCGACTCCAAGCATGAAAACTTTCGCATGTTAAAAACTTAAACCCTAAGTTGCGAATTGGTAGGGCTTGGGAGGGCCCGAGTTAGGCTTAGTCTTAACAATCCATTAGCCCGAGAGAAATTTTAGGTCGCGACAAGTATTTTGGTCAGCAAGAACAAACTTGCAATTCCACGAAGGCCTTGACATAACAATTACAGGGTCACTTCGAAGAACCGTAGACAAAAAACCTGCAAAAGAGAGACAATCTCAAGCCCGATTCATCGGAACCTTTCTCAAACAAAATGCACATCATTCTTACTTCTTAGAGCAACAGTCATCATCAGTACAACAAAGTACCTCAGTTCAAAAGGATGAACACATCCTCTATTAATTTCCATCTAACTTTAATTCAACACTGATGATTCTATATTTTCAGCAGATAGATGCATCCAATAGGCACCCCAACAAGTGCTCTTTGGCTCCAATTTTGGTAATAATATCATCTATAGAATCTTTAAGAACAACAGACCGATGCTCATAACCTCTAACCGCATTGAGATTTTTCTTGCTATACTTATCAGAATCTAGCAAGAGAAAAGTATAAACTAGGACTTATGTATTTATCCTCTATTACCTATGCAAAGGCAAAGATTGCTTGCAAAATTGTAGCAAATCAGTCTCGAGCATTTGAATGGCCATATCAGCAAGAAAAGTTCCCCACAGCCTGCATAGATTACAAGTAGAAACAGAGGAGCCAATAAATTCCTGAATGCTCAAAGTGAAAAGATATTTCCTGAGGCTTATAGCAGCTCCTAGAATTAATGACAAACATCAGCCATATCTCAAGTGAGGATGATTCATAGCTATGTTGACTTGCCAATTGTACGAGTATTTTAAGCAAATAACCAGCTCCACAATTTAGTTGTCTTCTCAATAACAGGGAACCTTCAAATTGTTGTTTCTGATTAGACATCAATTTATCTAAGCTCAAGAAGTTCATGCCCAAGTTCCCTGGAATGCTAAAACTGCTCTGAAACAGCACACCACCGGCTTCTTAATTAAGAAATTCATAGAAATATGTGCAAAGTGCATTTCCGAGAAGCTCACTTATTGCTCAACAGTGACGCATTTTTCTATGTTTACATACAATTATCATATAAACGACTTAAATTTACTAATTATCATATGAAATTATCAGCCTTTATTTGTGTTTCTCTCAAATTTTTCCTCAATCAAATTGAGATTATCAACTCTCATTCGAATTACTTATCTACATTGATTCTCTGTTTCTTAAATTTACTAATTTTTCTGTTGAGTTATCACTTTTATTTGTCTTGTTTACCTTTTTTTTCTTAATTTATCAAGTCTTTTAGATATTATCAACCTCATTTGGGTGATTGCCAACATTTCTCCAATCAAGTTACCAACTAATTTTACGTTACCAACTCTTATTTAAGTTAGTTATCTAAATTTATTTGATTTGTTTATTTATAATTTACCAACCTTACTTATCTCTGACAAAAAAAACCTCTCTTATATTTTACCAACTTTTATGTTCCCTTATTAGTAACACCTTTAGATTTATCGAATACCATATAAAATTACCAATCTTCTTTGTGTGACTTACCAGCTTTGCCAGCAATTAAGTTAACAACTTTTCCATCACAACTATTGATGCATGCACTTACGTCAAATTAACAGAAAAACCAGTGGATGAGAAAAATCACTTCAACGAGCGACCTGAAGATATCAACAGTTGCGCAGTCAAAATTCAAATTGGGCAATGGATTGGGTCATTTTTATAGAAACGCCACGTGAAATTAGACCGCTTCTTGCATGAATATCAAAAGATCACTTTTAGTTACGGGTCAAAGACAGATCCTAATAATTTTCCACCTCCTTTTTCCGTATATCTCTATTTCCTCTCGTATATCTGTATTCCCACAAACACAGACACGCACGAGAAACAACAATGGAAGTAGTACTGAGTTCAGGACACAGAATGCCGTTGATCGGGTTTGGAACGGCCTCAATGCCTCTGCCACCGGACGATGTGCTGACTTCAGCTTTTCTGGGCGCCATCGAGGCTGGGTACCACCGCTTCGACACAGCAGCCCAGTATGGAGCGGAGAAGCTGCTTGGGCGGTCCATTGCCGAGGCCATGAAGCGTGGCCTCATTAAGAGCCGCGACAAGATCTTCATCACCAGCAAGCTCTGGTGCACCGACACCCATTTCAACCTTGACGTTCCTGCCCTCAAGAACTCTCTCAAGTAATTAATCGTACTTAATTCTTCTCGAACTTCTCTCTTTTTCTTCAGTTTATTTAGTTTGTGTGGCTCTGGTTTCATTAATAAGTCGTGCAGCTAGATGAAATATCAAGACCATATAAAACTTTTAATATCGGAAAATATAACAGATAAAAACATTAAGATATCTCCACCTTTAGAAATGTATTAGTTTTCACTTGGGTATATGGATATTAGTTTCATGCATTAGTTCTCATCCTCAGTTGCTCTTATATAAATACCAATAGAATTTTTTTGCACTTGGTGTGTATGCTCATTGTTTTGGAAGCTAGGGTTAGAGTATGTGGATCTGTACCTAATCCACTTCCCAGCAAGACTGAAGGAAGGAACCGAAGGGTCCGATTTCAAGGGCAAAATGTTGCCATTTGACATGAAAGGCACATGGGAGGCCATGGAAGAGTACTCCAAGTTGGGCTTGGCCAGGTCCATTGGAGTCAGCAATTTTGGCACCAAGAAGCTGTCTCAACTCCTCATGCATGCCACAATCCCTCCTGCTGCCAACCAGGTAAAAGAAATAATACATATATAATCTAGTTTTTTCTTTCACTCGAATTAATATCAAATCAAGATTTTCATTAAGATTTGTTTATTTTTCTTCGTGGGTTAATCTTGATTTAGGTGGAGATCAATGTGGCGTGGCAACAAGAGAAGCTGAGGGAGTATTGTTGAGAGAAGGGAATACACGTGAGTGCGTGGTCTCCATTGGCAGCGAATGGAGCTCCTTAGGGTTCCTTAGCCGTTATGGAGAATCCTCTGCTTAAGGAGATTGCTGTTGCCAAAGGAAAGACTCTAGCTCAGGTACTTTATTATTCTGTCTCTGGTCTCACTTTGCCCATATAAAGGTTGTCACACGATTGTCGTAGCTGCGAATCTGATGAATAACATCATACTGGCTGCGAATCTGATGAGGTTTCCTACGAATAGAACAAAAGTAAAATGTCTTGTCATTTTCATGTCTGAAGCCTAGATTATAATCTTCAATATTGCTTATATGTATCTATATATAGGTTGCACTGAGATGGATATATGAGCAAGGATCAAGCATCATTGTAAAGAGCTTCAACAAGGAGAGAATGAGAGAGAACCTGCAAATTTTGGGATGGGAACTTAGCCAGGAGGATTTGGAGAGGATGAAGCTGCAAATCCCACAGAGAAGAGGGTTTGCAATTATATGTAACAGCTGAACAAGGTTTTTTCAAGAGTAAGCACGACAATAACTATATGAATTTCGTTGTAGGATCTGAATCTTCTTTGAATTTGAAACGAAGTATGACAGATAAATTTTCGAATCATTGCGCATAATTCAAATCGAGATGCAAACCACCGAGGAAGAATCGATGCCGGTGGACCATTCTTGAGATCGATATATAGCGTGCCACAATCTTACGGACCATCCTCTTTCAATTCCCTTTTTTTTGTTGTTGTTGTTGGTAAGTACATTAAATTTTATTGGGTATCAATACTTTTGGAAGTGGACGAACGGCACGATGTAGATGAGAGGAAATTGCCTTCAACCATGATGGAAAGAAAAAAATAGCCCTCAAAACCTGATAGAAAATCCAAACTGCAACTTCATAAAATTTTCACTTATAACCTTAATTTTTTAAGCACGTATCCATTCGACCTCAATGATTGTTTTTTGTTTCTTTTCTTTTTTCGGCCCCGCTAAAATTCTTTGCACAGCCAATTTGACTATGCACAAACATGTGATTACGATCTCTAGCTCTCATTATTACCAGCATCAATTTCTCGCATAATTAATTCCAGGTATATTCGGGATTACATTTGGATTGCCTAACAGGGCATTATATAATTACCTCGTGAAAGTTTATGGACTAAAATCTAGATTTGACATATGGGAGACCGCATTTTGGCAGAAGAAAACAAGATTGGCAATTGCCAAGATAAACCGTCACGTCTCAAACCGTTCGATATCTAATGTCAATCTTTCCCGTTGCTTAGTAAAATAATTTTGAAATGTTTATCGTCCTTTTAAGATTATCTCTTAGTTGTCATAGGTGTGAGCAACCCTTTTGGTTTTGTATGTTATGCAAAGATTCTGTCTTGCATAAATGAGATGAGCTCCCCGTTGATGCATTCGTGATAATTATTGCTTGCTCACGGTGAATTACTTGTTGAGAATAGGAGTGGGCGGTTTTTTATATGTTTTATCTGGAATTTAGAACCTACTTGTCGGAACAGGTTCCTCATTTTTTTAAATCTAGAACTTACCTACACATCCTAGAACTTGGAACCTACCATGATGCTGGTTCCAAGGTCTACCTAGATTCTATTTATATTCATAATTGGATGATTGTAGTGAATCATCACCTCTAGTGACTACCATTTGTTGCTACAATTCATTGACTACAACTTATATTTTTTTTTTTGGTAAGGTAAGGATTGTTATAACTTTTCAACGCAATATACAAAGAGTAGCCGAACACAAAAACCCCGCACATGAAGAGACACGGAAGGGTGTCTCGACTGGTGCAAGGGTGTACCGACTAGTCAACGTAAAAAAGCAACACAAGCGTTGCAAAACAAGGCCAAACAATGGCCAACAGAATACGAAAGGGCAAAAAACTAAACCACCGCAATGGGATTACTCAAAGATAGAAGGCGAGATGCCCCAATTAGATTGGATCCTTCTGTTGTGAGGGGAGTCTTGAACAGACTTGTAGGAAAGCCCTTTGTCCCTTACGAGCTTAGAAAGGTGCCCGCGTAGAGCCAGCATAAACAGGGGTTTATTCCTGAAGAGGATATGGTTACGTTCCGACCAAATAATATGGCAAAGAGCCCCAAGGGAGAAGCGAGTAATTCACTGGCGAAAGCTGTTTCCACCTATGAACTTGACAGCCCACTGGAGGATTTCTTGCCACGATCTATTACGCCAAGAAAGATTACAGTTTCTTGCCCAGAATAGTGCCAGGGTACCCGAGATTGCACACCCAAAAAATAAATGATCGATAGAATCTGGTCTACATCTACAGAATGCACAAAGACCTTCCAAGATTCTACGATAATTTAGCAAAACAATCTGAGTAGGGAGCCTGTCTAGAGTGATGTGCCATAGTAGAAACCCATACCTTGGCGCAATATTATGATCCCATATGAACGAGCTCCATGGAACAGTCGGGCTTTTGTTTCTAATCAATTCCCAAGCCGTGGCCATCGAGAAAATACCTGAGGAATGACCTTGCCAGATTAATTGATCAGGCCTCTCCCCGTGAAGAATAGGGATAGCATCTGACCAAGCGTTAAAAGTTTGCAGTATATTAGAAGACTGCCAGTCGGAAGACAGGAAATCCTGGACTGAGGCATTTCTGGGGATACCAGAACAATATATATCTCTATTAGAGAAGAGCTCATAAAGGGGTCCTCTGGGATGCCAATAATCGAACCAGAAAGATGTTGACATTCCATCACCAATCCTCCATTTAAACTGTAGTCGGAATTCTCGTCGGAGGTCAAGAATTTTTTTCCAAGCCCATGAGCAAAAAGTTGGCTTGGGCGCAACCCAGAAATTCTTGTTCTTGAGAAAGGTGGAATGGATCCACTTATGCCATAAAGACTCTTTATCCGTGAAAAGGATCCAAATGTGCTTGAGCATAGCCGCCCTGTTGCAGTCGATGAGCCTACGTATACCCAGGCCACCTTCCTTTTTTGGTCGACAAACTTCGGACCAAGGGACTTTAGCCCCGCCAACACCCAGGTCTGGGCCCTTCCATAGGAATTATCTGAGAATTAATTCGATCCTCGCTAAAATCGAGAGGGGTAGAGTGAAGACACTAGCGCAGAAAACATGAATAGAGTGGAGGACCGATTTAATAAGTTGTAACCGACCGGCAAAGGATAGAAAACGTTGAGACCAAGACCGAGCTCGAGCAGTAATGGAGTTTACTAAAGAGCTACAATCAGTCTTACTTAGTCTAGTCGCAGTAACAGGCACTCCTAGATACTGAAAGGGGAGCGTACCTTCATTAAAGCCAAAGGTAAGCCGAATCAGTTCCCGGAGCTCTGCCGACCCACCAGATATAAAAATCTCACTTTTGCTGGCATTTGGAATTAGCCCAGACCATCGAGAAAATAAGGTAAGGCCTTCCTTCAAAAGGGTAGCAGAAGTCGAATTTGCCTCCACAAAGAGAATGACGTCATCCGCGAAACACACAAAAAACATAAAACATTAAAAACGAAAAAGTATCAATTATTGATATTGCCGGAAATGGAAGCCCAGATTACACACTTATCGTCGAACGCTATGGAATACCACAGGATTGCGCGAAAACAAAGAACAAGAAAAACACAAAGACTTGTTAGATTCTAGATTATCCGTCAGAACGGGTTTCCCAATTTTTGGAACCTAGAACCTGCCATGTATATCAGTCCAGTTTCCAATTCAATCCTGAAATCATGCTCACCCCCAGTTGAGAAAACTTTCCACTTCATCATGCTTGATTTCATCTTCTTCCGCTCGTAATAAATATAAGCATTCCGACTCCTAAAACCGCCAAACTTCAACATCTTCCATCGCTAGATTTCCATCTCTCTCTCTCTCTCTCTCTCTCTCTCTCTCTCTCTCTCTCTCTCTCTCTCTCTCTCTCTCTCAGAACACAAAACACCAATGTGCGATGTCGTGGTCCCCGAAGTGGTGCTGAGCACAGGCGAGAGGATGCCGCTGATCGGGATGGGCGGGGCAGCGAGGCCTCTGCCACCGCTCGACGTGCTGACATCCATATTCCTTGAGGCAATCGAAGCCGGGTACCGCCACTTTGACACGGCTGCATCCTACGGCTCCGAAGAGGCGCTCGGCCGGGCCATAGCCGAGGCTCTGGAACGCAGGCTCGTCAAGAGCCGCAGCGACATCTTCATCACCACCAAGCTCTGGTGCACCGACGCTCATCCGGGTCTTGTTCTTCCCGCTCTCAAGAAGTCTCTCCAGTAAATATTTCATAATTTGCCTTCTGATCTCCTCCTGTTTGTTTTACTGCACGACACCTTATGCAGTTCTAATCACCGCTGATTCGCAATTAACTTTAAAAACCATACACGAATTTCTTCCGTGGAGAGACAGACCCGATAAACATTAGTTGTCACTTTGGTATATAATTATCAGTTTCGTGCATTAACTTTTTCTAATCTTTCCTCTATATTATTTTTCCGCTCTACTTTGGGTTTTAGTCATGCTGTGTTCATGTTTCTTTCTCTTCGTATTTTGGCACCCGGTGGATTATTTATTTAAATAGGAGGCTGGGGTTAGAGTATGTGGATCTGTATCTAATCCACTTCCCAGCGAGATCGAAGGAAGGAAATGAGGGTTGGTTTGATATCAAGGGCAAAATTTTGCCATTTGACATGAAAGGGACATGGGAGGCCATGGAAGAGTGCTCCAAGCTGGGGTTGGCCAAGTCCATTGGAGTCAGCAACTTTGGCGCAAAGAAGCTCTCTCAAATCCTCATGCATGCCGCAATTCCTCCTGCTGTTAACCAGGTGAAAGAAAATTAAATTATTCGAGTTTGATCTTTGAGTCGAATAAGATCTCAAATCAAGATTTGCTTCTTCTTTTTTTCCTTTGTGGGTTCATCATGTTTAGGTGGAGATGAATGTGGGATGGCAACAAGAGAAGCTGAGGGCGTACTGCAGAGAGAAGGGAATACATGTGAGTGCGT